CGCACACACACACACACACACACACACACACACACACACACACACACACACACACACACACACATACACACACACACGCAATCGCGAGTGTGTGCGTGTGTGTGTCTGTGAACATTTTCACCACATCTAATAAGTGGCGATCACTCGATTTCCTGACATTTTCTTCTATGGGTTGAATGTCACAGTGAAGTCGTGGCGGGCTTGAGTGAATCTCTTAATAAGATATTGCAAATGCTCTTGCAACTGAACTATCGGAGTGGTGTCATCTACGAACAGTATATCTCTGACGGCGACCTGCGGACCTTAGTTTTTTTACTTCAGTCTAGACAAGTTGTTGAGAACATCGAACTTACTTAGGAGGGCATCCAATTCTTTCAGGAATTTTCAAGAGGCCATTATAGCTCACGAAGTCAAAATGTCATGTCAATTGTGAAACACTCTGAGCTGAAACTACTGTACACTGTGATTTGGGATATATTCCTTCAGCTAATTACTGGAGCCTGTCCAGAACTACATGCGCAAAAAAAGAGGTTTAGCAAAGGTTTAACTACTGTTACAGTCACATATGTCTTTGGGAACTGTACCTTCCTTCCAGCATTGAGAGAGGGCACAGAGGTGGTCAAGGAGTGGTCCCTTTAACTCCTGGTTGGATTCTATCTAGTCCTGGTGCTTTCTCTGTGGCTAAGGTATCTTTAGATTTGCTATGCTCCTTCGGGTCTGGCAACCCGTCCAGCTCATTCATGATAGACAGTGGCTTCACTATTTCTGATATGGTGTTGGAGATGCTGTTCTCTTTGCCGTACAAGCCCGAGTAAGACTTTACCCATTTTTTCACTGCACATCTTTATGCTGTTAGCTTTACTTTGCTCCTGCTGTTCTGAGAGTTTGCAGTTGACAGTGTTGGCTGCTACTTGTATCTTAACAATACTGTGTGCTTTCCTTCAGTCTCTCAGTGTTAAGTTTTGTGACATCTGTCTCATGAGTCTCATTCTGCTTCAAGCCAAGGCCAGAAAGCATGGACAATGTTTGTCAGACGATCCCACCTCGGCTTTGTCTGGCTCCCTGTTCATGCTGGTGTTAGGGATTATCTTCCTTGGCGGTTTTGTACAGTGGATCTCCTTGGACTGGATTTTGATCTTACACCGGACCAGTGAGTGATGTATCGAAATTCTCTACACACACACACACACACACACACACACACACACACACACACACACACACACACACACACACACACACACACACACACACACACACACACACACACACACACACACACACACACACACACACACACACACACACACACACACACACACACACACACACACACACACACACACACACACACACACACACACACACACACACACACACACACACACACACACACACACACACACACACACACACACACACACACACACACACACACACACACACACACACACACACACACACACACACACACACACACACACACACACACACACACACACACACACACACACACACACACACACACACACACACACACACACACACACACACACACACACACACACACACACACACACACACACACACACACACACACACACACACACACACACACACACACACACACACACACACACACACACACACACACACACACACACACACACACACACACACACACACACACACACACACACACACACACACACACACACACACACACACACACACACACACACACACACACACACACACACACACACACACACACACACACACACACACACACACACACACACACACACACACACACACACACACACACACACACACACACACACACACACACACACACACACACACACACACACACACACACACACACACACACACACACACACACACACACACACACACACACACACACACACACACACACACACACACACACACACACACACACACACACACACACACACACACACACACACACACACACACACACACACACACACACACACACACACACACACACACACACACACACACACACACACACACACACACACACACACACACACACACACACACACACACACACACACACACACACACACACACACACACACACACACACACACACACACACACACACACACACACACACACACACACACACACACACACACACACACACACACACACACACACACACACACACACACACACACACACACACACACACACACACACACACACACACACACACACACACACACACACACACACACACACACACACACACACACACACACACACACACACACACACACACACACACACACACACACACACACACACACACACACACACACACACACACACACACACACACACACACACACACACACACACACACACACACACACACACACACACACACACACACACACACACACACACACACACACACACACACACACACACACACACACACACACACACACACACACACACACACACACACACACACACACACACACACACACACACACACACACACACACACACACACACACACACACACACACACACACACACACACACACACACACACACACACACACACACACACACACACACACACACACACACACACACACACACACACACACACACACACACACACACACACACACACACACACACACACACACACACACACACACACACACACACACACACACACACACACACACACACACACACACACACACACACACACACACACACACACACACACACACACACACACACACACACACACACACACACACACACACACACACACACACACACACACACACACACACACACACACACACACACACACACACACACACACACACACACACACACACACACACACACACACACACACACACACACACACACACACACACACACACACACACACACACACACACACACACACACACACACACACACACACACACACACACACACACACACACACACACACACACACACACACACACACACACACACACACACACACACACACACACACACACACACACACACACACACACACACACACACACACACACACACACACACACACACACACACACACACACACACACACACTCTCTCTCTCTCTCTCTCTCTCTCTCTCTCTCTCTCTCTCTCTCTCTCTCTCTCTCTCTCTCTCTCTCTCTCTCTCTCTCTCTCCCTCCCTCCCTCTCTCTCCTCCTGTACGAAATCCCTCACCTTGGCAGCACACGCATCCTTTGCTGCAGCCCTTGGACGTGGCGTCGGAGTACTTGCAGTCGGCAGGCTTCACGCACGTGCCGCCAGTCTTTTTGCACTTGTCCTTCGTGACGCAGGGCGGTGGCTTGGGCGCGCAACACCTGCAGCCGGACCCCGAACACCCGCCCACGATTTCTTCTTCGTCGGCCGAGCATTTCCCTTTGGTGCAGCGACCGTCCGCCTTCGAGCACTTCGTCAGCGTCGTGCATGCTGGGGAACACAAAGCCGCGGTTTTAATTTCTTTTGCAGTGCATGGCTGGAGGAGAAGCTTTCAGTGGGTAATGCGAATTAGTAAATGAATAATGTTTATAATAATGATAACAGTGATGATGATAATACGTACATGAACAATGATTGTAATAATAATAATAGTGATGATAACAATACATGAATAATATTAATAATAATAACAATAACACATGAATAATATTAATGATAATAACAATAATACATGAATTATATTAATAACAATAATATTAATGATTATAATAATGATAAAAAATAAATAAAATGATAATGATAAGAATTACAAATGAATGATAAGAATGATAATGATAATGAATAATTATATATGTATTTTTCATAATATTCATAAATGAATAATTATATATATATATACATATACATATATATGTATATACATATATATATATATATATATATATATATATATATATATATATATATATATATGTGTGTGTGTGTGTGTGTGTGTGTGTGTGTGTGTGTGTGTGTGTATGTATATATACATATATATATATATATATATATATATATATATATATATATATATATATATATATATATGCATATATATAAACATATGTATACATCTTTCTTTCTTTTTCATAAATGCATAATAATAGTAATAATGGTAATATATTAACGGCAAATTTGCACAGGTCACGACTGTTGGGATGAACGGACGAACACCCTCCGTGTCCACGGCACTGGCCTATTACGCCCGCAACTTACGAGGGTCATTCACGCAACACATGCAGCCTGAGCCCACGCACTCCGGCGTGAGAGTGCCCGCGCAGAAGGCCTCGCTGGTGACGCAGAAGCCGCCCTTCTGGAAGCACGAGCTCTGCGTCTTGCAGGGCGGGGCGCAGCACTTGCACTTCAACTCGCCGCACTTGCCCTCGAGGACGCGGTCGCCGTCGCCGCAGTTGTCGCTGCAGTAGCCGCCCTCGGCCGAGCAGAAGGAGCTAGGGGCGCACATCGGTTCTGCGGGCGGAGGGGGGGCGGGGTTATTGCACCGGGCGTGGGAGGGAATCGCGTTGCATTTGTGCCTGCTTGACTGAGTTGTCTTAGTGGTGGATATATCAGTGAATTTTTTTTTTAAGGCAGTTCCTTTTTGATAATTAAAGGGAAAATCGGCTATCGAGAACATTGATAACATTGATGATCGTGATAACAATGCCAATCGTAGCAATAATAAGCAATAGGAGTGGTTATCATTATAACAAGAGTATCCACACTAGAGAAAAGAGCGTTACATAAATTCTTTCTGAATCAATAACAAACAAATACACACACAGAGAGAACAAATCAAACTTACTTTCCACACAACAACTGCAAGGTTTTCCAATACAGGTCTTTTGATGGTGAATGGGGAAAAAGGTGTACTTGCAATTGGACCCGATCTCGAGGCACAGTCCATC